CTTCAAATGGCTTTTCCACCCGCTTAAAGACAAAAGTGCTGTCAGTGGCTCAGCCCTCTCCAGCCTCCCCCCCCCTTTTCTCTTTAATGCAATGCAGTCCAAGATCCTTTGGCAGGCTGGTTGGAAGCTAAAGGGGGGGGGGGGTGAGCAGGGAGCAGGGGAATGAGAGGGAGGGACAAACAGCAGGCAGCCGGCTGTAGCCAGGAGAACACAACCTACCAGTTTTATTTGGAGCTACGAGGAAATGGGGAATTCTGGCACCAAGTAGCTTTTCCTAACCGGAAGTCCTCCTGATGTAGTGGGCTGTAGCTCCCATAATCCTCAGTGAGAAGGTCCACTGGGATGATGGATGTTGTAGTCGAACACCTAAGGGGGAAACCTGGTGAGGGAGAGCCTAATTTTGTAGTCCTAAGGGCCTGTCCACACTGTGAAATTTGGTATGATTTGGCCAGTGCTTAAAAGGTCCTGATCTTCAGTGCAATCTGTTTTAACTCTTGGTACCTGTCTGTGAATGCAAAACAAAGAGCTATTTTGCCTCTTGGTGAATAGTCCCAAAAAGATGGCATGTTCCAGCTCTGTTCCAGAAGGATAGTGGTCAGCTCTTAAAGGGGAATGATGGATCGTTTGAAGTAGAAACACAAGCGGGCAATGTCTTTTTTCCCCCATGCCAAACACTGCTATTAGGGAACCATATACCATATCTGTATATGTAATGTGGGCAGGATATCTATTAACTGAGATTGGTTTATGCTTTAAATGAACTGCAGGGATTTTAAAAATAGGTTATTCTGTTATGTACCCTACTCAGCTGCTAGGATGGGGAAAAATTGCTTTTTGATGTTCCAGACTCGCCTTTGTAACTGTAGGCTTCACAAATGCTTTAGACTTCCAGCTCCCGTTATCTTTGTCATTGGTCATTTTGAAAGAGGTTAGTGAGAAATTGTAGTCCACAACACTTGGATGACACCAGGATGTGGAAAGCTGTTCTGTGGTGTGGGACCCGATTCAGTGAGTACAAGTTATAGAAAAGGTAATTACAACTACTGTAAATATAGGAAGAATATCAAGGTGATGCAAACTGCTTGGAGAAAAATAATCTGCTTCCAGAAATGGAGGAATTTTCTTAGTGTTCAAAAGCTTTTGAACAGAGGCTGGACGTTCAGCTACCAGAGATACTGTACTAATGAATTTCCTACACTGGCAAGTGGTTGGACTGGATGAGGTTTCTATCTAGTGATTGTAAAATCCAATATTTGCAGGGACTAATGTGAGTTAATTGAAAAAAAATTGTTAAAGCCACATTGTTTTTGTACACAGTCTGAATGTATGATACCTTTAATAGACCACTAAAAAAATAAAATAATAAATAAATAAATTCACAAACATAAGCTAGTTTCTGGCCCCATGGTCATATTTGACCAACTGAGCATTACAGAGCTAGAGTTGATGCAGAGGAAACATATAATAAATAATCACATGCCATCAAGTAAATTCCAAAATCCATGGCCAGATGTCCAAGCTTGGTATCCTTGTGTAAAGCAGGGCCCAAAACAGAGGCTGCAGACTAGCTCAGAGATGGTTGGGTTCATACTTGGTAGTGTGGATTAGATTATCTCTAATCTAATTTGTTAGACAAAAGATTGCCAGTCATTCGGTACCCTTCCCCATGGCCCTGTATCAAAATGGATGGTTCCTTTATGGCTAGGAATAGTGGGGTACAAGAGATAAAACACCATATTTGTAATAGTTGAACCCGGATGGATGGATGAATCTGACGGTTTTAGGTTTCTCCCACACTGGTTTTTCTCTTACATCTTAAATATTTCCATTATGATTATGAAGAAATTTATGAATTTGGTAAATTCTTTTAAAAAAAAGGAAATCAAATTCCCACCCATCCCAAAGTCTTACATCATAGCTATGCATCATCTGTTTCTTAATGTCTCTATCACCAAGTTGCTAATTCACTATCTGATATGTGCTAATTCAAGAAGGGGTACAAATAGGAGAGATGCTCCAGTCTCCAATTTCATGGGCAGATTTTCTCAAATATAAGGCACTGAAATTTCTTGGTTGATTGAAAGTATGGGCTAATAATTTTTTGGTCCAGTAGACCCCCTCCCCCAACATTGTACAACAGGGATCATAATATTAAAATAGAATGGAGGCAAAATATTATTTGCAAACAGACTGAAAATTCTTTTAAAAGCCAAAGGCCTGACGAAACTATGCAGTTGTGAGTGCCTCTCGGATGTTTAGCAAGACTGACGTCCCTTTAGAAAGGCAGAGAAGTTTTACAGTTAGGGTGCTGTTAATGGAAAAACACAGTCTTGTGTGCTCACCAGCCTAATGTCTTGCAGTGGTGGGACACTGAACAGGACTTTCACTGTCCATAGATTTCACATTCTGTTTGTGTTACAAAAACTAGTAATACAATTCTACATCTGCCTAGAAGTAAATCTCAATGGGTTGAGCTGCATATAGTTTCAGATAAATGGGCAAAGGCCTGTAGTATGAAGACTTGTTGATTGTTTGTTTGTTTATTTGTTTGTTTTGTCTCATTTATAGGTTGCCTGTTTCCCAAGGCAACTCACAGCATTAAAAAAGTGAAAAACACAATAAATTATACTTGAAAAAACAATTAAAGTATGATAGTCATTAAAATACATTGAATGATTTCATGAAGACTTGTTGATTGTTTGTTTGTTTGTTTTGTCTCATTTATAGGCTGCCTCTTTCCCAAGGCAACTCACAGCATTTAAAAAGTGAAAAACACAATAAATTATATTTGAAAACAATTAAAGTATGATAGTAATTAAAATACATTGAATGATTTAAAGGATTTAAATATTTTAAAGAACTTGCTCAGCTACAAACCAGCATTCAGGGACTCAGTTATGGTTAGTAAAAGCCTGCCTGAAGAGGTGGGTCTTCAACTGTGGGTGGAAGGATAAAAGGGAAGAGGGATCAACCTAACCTCTCAAGGGACAACATTCCAAAAACCTGGGAGTGTCCACAGAGGAAGCTCACTCTTGTGTCCCCTTACAAATGTCTTCGATATTGAGAAAGCCCAACTGCATTGTTTAATTCAAAGCTTTAGGCAGCTTTCCTTGCTAGGTTGGATTGCCACACTTCCTGGAGGAGTTTCAAAGGAATGAATGGAAAATAAATCAGTAATTTCCTCCTAACCAATGTGAACTTCTGTGACCTTTTCACCAAGCAGCAGATACCGGTATATCTGTTTTTCAGTACTGATGAATTCTCAGCATTGTGTAAGCAGGGGAGGGGGGGAGGCTGCTATTTTTCAGTCCAGAAACTTTTCTTAAAAAGAACCCTGCTGGATCAGAATGGACTACATAGTCCAGCATAGAGCTTTGGGAATTGCTTTGTTTAGTCAGGAAGTTGCTGCTGCCTCCCACAACATATGCTGCCTAAAACTGCCTAATATTCGAATTATTTCTAAAACTGTATACCTGCTAAAAACCCTCAAGCTGGACCTGATTATAATAAGCACCATACTTGAATAGCAACTCTTATATTATCTCTTGCTCCAGAGGTTGACAAACTGTGGCCTTCCATATGTTTTGATAGACTACAACTCCCATCACCCCTGGCCATTGGTTATGCTGGCTAGGGCTAATGGGGGCTGAAATTTACGACCATCCAGAGGATTACCACTAGCCTGGCTCTTGTTTATTGGCTACTATGAACACAGCCATCATAACTAAATGGAATTTTCCCTTTTAAGATGACTAAAACTTGGAAGGGGTGATGTTGCTCTTGGAAAACCTGTCCTGAGTCACAGAAAATAGTGGGTGGGCCGGTAGGCCGGGTGGAATCTGAACCAATACTGTATCACTGTGGAGAGATATAATGTCATGAACCAATACTGTATCACTGTGGAGAGATACAGTATAATGTCACTAGCTCTCATTCTCTCATCCCATTATCTTTCTTTCGCAATTATCTCTGAAATGATTTTTCTCACCTGGAAGCTGAACATGGTAGCTCTTAACGTAGGAAGCAAGTGCTCTTTCCCTCAGCTATGTTATTTCCCCAAATGTTCCCATTCTAAATACAAAAATGTTGCTGTTTTTAAAACAAGCTATCATTTGTCGAACAAGATTTTTGGCTAAATATTTTAAAACCTGCTTTGTTTGATGTGAAATTCTTGGGTGGGCCATGGTGGGTGCATCATAATTAAAAACAAACAAACAAAAAACCAAATGGTTTTTTGGGGACACCGATGTACAAAAACAAAAATGGCAGAGTTTTGCCCATAGGATGAAAAGATACAAATTTAGAAACAGTGGATGGAAACCTATTGTTTAGTTACATGGGCAGAAGTGCAATGATATGCAGTGGTGCCTCGCTTAACGAGTGCACCGTTTAACGACGAATCCGCATAGCGATGTCGCAATTGCGATCGCAAAAGCGATTGCATTGCGATGTTTAAATAGGGAAAAACTCACATTGTGATGATCGTTAAGCGTTTCGCTTACCGATCTTCACATTGCGATGTTTACAGAACAGCTGGTTGGCGGTTCCAAAATGGCCGCCACAAGTGTTTTCGCAAATGTTAAGACTATTGAGCTAATGGTCTAGCTTAAAATGTAAGGCAGGTTTACAACCAAGTCTGTTTACTTGGAGGCGCTTCCTGGTGGGTATTAAACCTGGGACGTGCTCCATGCCCTGCAAGTGCTCTACCACAGGACCATCACCTCTCTCTAAAATTACATATCCCCTCAATTCCCAACATCTCCAGTTAAAAGGATCATACTAAAATCAGTGGGATTCATCACCTGAGGTGGGGGACAGATCTCCTTCATGGCTGTGTTGGAAAGAACTGCATCTACCCCTACTCCAATAGTTCTATTGTGGGTTTTGCTCTTGTTGACATTTGATCATGACAAGGAGAGTGAAATTGGGAACAGGTGTTGTGTCTTAACTTGATGCTTTGGCGAGTACAGACCAGCCTCTGATACCTGTTTCCCCAACAGGTGACACCATGTCTGTGATATATAGTGAGGTCGCTGCTGATGAACCAACTACAAACAGCTTTTGGATGGTGAGTAAATAATAGCAAAAATGATATAAGGGTTGGAAGATATATGATCTTATGAGAATTCTGCTAAAATGTTTCTGGCGCAGTTGGGAAGATATTTGAATTTAACTATTTTAAACATTGTTCCAGTGGTATAAACCAAATTGGTTCCAATTGTAAACCAAAACAATACGGTATCATTAGAAATTGACATTCCTCCAAATTTTGCGATTGAGTTTTAACATTTAAAACTGCATTAAAAACATCTGTGTTTGGGGAAAGTGCAAGGAAAATGTATATATGATTGAAGATGAATGTCCCAAAATGCGTTCTATTAACAGAATTGCTGTTGCCAAAATGCATTTTTTTTAAAGTAGAAACTGTATGTAAAAAGGCAGATATTAGGCAAAGTGCACACAAAAAAGCACATATGAGTTTCCTTGTGAGCAATGAAGTTCTGAATGTATAGCAGTGAACCATGGAAATACTTGGGGTGGACCAAGATAAAGATTGGAAAAATGAGAAACTGAAATAACACAGGCAGATCCATCCCTCTAAACTTTTTGGGAGAAGTCAGTAGAGTCAAAATGGTGTGACATTTGTGGGATGGCAGGGAAGAAGCAAGACGGAAATGGGGAGGTACTGACAATTTCATTCTGGATTATCACAAAAGAAATGTAGATGAAAGGCGATCCGAGTAAGGATGCTTGGAAAGCAAGTTTTCCAAGTTCTCTCATTGAGGTGTCCTGATTTCAGTATTGCATGCTTTATTTGCTGTTGTTTATCTAGAATCCCTTTGGCTTCTTAGGGTCTTTCAAATGTACTAAACAAGAGTTATTTGTATACTCTTTGTAAAGACAGTGTGATGAACTGCATGCTAATGTTCTAGATATGATGATATCTTACTTGAGAAAGTAAGCAATGTTTTGATGGATCAGATTCTTAGGGTCTTTCAAATGTACTAAACAAGAATTATTTGTATACTCTTTGTAAAGACTGTGTGATGAACTGCATGTTAATGTTCTAGATATGATAATACAGTATCTTACTTGAGAAAGCAAGCAATGTTTTGATGGATCAGATCAAGGCCCATCTAGTTCAGCATTCTTTGCAAAAGCCTTAGCAATTAGCAGGAGACGGCCAGATCAGAAATTGGCAGCATATGGCCCCCGGCCCACATGGGTCCCCTGCCCAATTTCATAGCCACCTCGATGTGCCTGCATTCAAAGTACTGGTTCTCACCTGTGAAGTCCTAAATGGCTTGGATAGCTTTGTATACTGTAGGCCACTTCTTCAGGCACATCTGATTAAATGGTTTGCAGTCCAGAAAAGCAGGTAACCAGCAAAAGTTTAAGGTCCAACACGGCTTTGTCATTTTTGCTGTGACAGATTACTCTCTTGGGTGGCTGCAGTGAATGACCCCTTTGGAGATGTTTTTAAGGGGAATATGCTCTGTTCTGTACTCCACTTAATCTGTTTCCTGATCCTTCTTCTGCTCCACTTTCCTGTAGCCCAATCATTACCAGAGCACAGTCAAGCGGCTGGATGATGGTTATCGTGTCTGTGATCAGATTGTCACCTGTTTCCAGGAACGTGCAAAAATTGAACGGAGCTATGCCTTGATGATGGAGGAGTGGACTCGCAAGTGGCGGCCCCTTGTTGATGGAAGTGAGTTGTTTCCAGGTCCTTCTTCCGGCAGTGCGAAAAAGACCTAATTTGTGCAGTCGCTTTTGCTTCCCAAATTCAGGTTTTCAGAAGAATCCTCAGGGGAGGGGAGGAGCAAGTCTGGTGTGATGATTCAAGGGCCTGACTGGAAGGTAACAGACTTGGGTTCTAGTCCTCAGTAAGCCACTAAATTCCTTATGTGACCTTGGGCCAGTTCCTCTTCCTCTCAGCATAGCGTGCTTCACTATGAGGATAAATGTGAAGCTAAATGCTGAAGAAAGAGCTAAATATACCACCTTGAGCTTATTAGAAGAAGAGTTGCTATAACCAATGAATAATTATTAAAAACTAATGGAAAATGGAGATGTTTTGATGTGCAATAATATTTTTGCTGTTGTTTTCTTGCATAAAACTCCAGCTAAGCTCTAAAGCCTAGGAGACTTTGCTGTCCCTCTTTGTTTCCAGAATATACACTGGCAGAAATGTTCACCAATTCTATGTCATCTCCTTTTAGCTTTCTGTTCACGTTTCAGTATGCTGAGTCATAAAATGGCAAAGCTATGTTGACAGAACCTTTAAGAACTTGCATCTATGTTCATGTTTTCTGTAAAGATTCCTCGGTTAGGCTATGGCCACTTGACCAAATAATGTCGGATTTGCTGCAGTTATCATGCAAAACCCCAGTCAGGACAGCTGGTGGTGAAGGCTTCTGGGAGTTGCAGTCCAAAACTCCTGAGTAACCCAAGGTTAAGAACCAGTGGGTTAGGCTATGGCCACTAGACCAAATAATGTGGGATTTGCTGCAGTTATCGTGCACATCAATTCGAAGCAATTTTTTTCTGATCACATGGAGCAAAGGCCAATTTGAATCAGTCCAGCCCTTTTTGGTCCTAACATGACTTTATTTCTCTGTTGCTGGGAGCTTCTCTTTTAAGTCGTAATGATTTAAATGGATGTTTCCTATGTGGTCAGTTGACTCATTCTTCTAAACATGTGTTTCAGTTATATAGGCAATTGGGTCATGGAAACACATCCCTGCCTTCCCTGCCTTCTTTCTCCTTATTTATTTATATTATTTATTCATTTTATTTCTATCCCGCCTATCTGGACTTTTTAGACCACTCTAGGTGGCTTACAATCAACAACAACAATACAATTTTAAAATCATTACAGCTAAACAGAAATAAAGATCAATGGAGGGTATAAAAAAAAGAAAAATCGTCACTTGCACCTATATATTAGTTCAGTGCTATATCACTTCCAGACATGAAAAAAAATTACAAAGAAAACAGAAACAGCCCAGACAAACAATTTGAATCAGTCCAGCCCTTTTTGGTCCTAACATGACTTTATTTCTCTGTTGCTGGGAGCTTCTCTTTTAAGTCGTAATGATTTAAATGGATGTTTCCTATGTGGTCAGTTGACTCATTCTTCTAAACATGTGTTTCAGTTATATAGGCAATTGGGTCATGGAAACACATCCCTGCCTTCCCTGCCTTCTTTCTCCCAGTAGTCCTCTGATTTTTTAAAAAATCTATATGAGATTAACACTGGATCACCTTATCACTTGCACCTATATATTAGTTTAGTGCTATATCACTTCCAGACATGAACAAAATTACAAAGAAAACAGAAACAGGCCAGACAAACTGTGACATTTCTGTACATGTTAAGAAGAACTTTGGAACACTGCCACCTATTTGGAACAACGTATGACACAACCAAGCGGCTTTACAGTGAACCGGAAAAGGGTCTTGGCAGAGGCAGGACCAGAGGAAGGAAGGAAAGAAGGGGGTGGGTGGGCTGAAATTCAAATTACTTTGCATCACATCAAGTGTGAATACTGAACTTCCAAATCAATCTGTGTGATCACTGACTGCGAATTCAGGCTGCAAATCAAATTGCAGATGTAGTGGCACCCTTAGTCACCACTTCAAACAATAACTACAACAATAATTATTTCAACATTAGGAGCTTGTAACATATACTGTATTGCCAAAGTATGAAAACTCACTTGGAAAGCTATAAAAATAATTTATCCCTCCCTCTCTATCCTTCCTGTTCTCCAGGTCCAGCATATGGCTCCCTGCTCCGGGCCTGGCAAGCATTTTTGGGGGCCTCAGAGAGGCTGAGTCGGCTACACATGGAGATGCAAAGGACTTTGGTTTCTGAGGACACTGCACGCATCCGGTCCTGGCAACATGACTCCTATCATCGCAAACTGTTTGGGGGCTTCAAGGAGGCCTGTGATTTAGAAAGTGGCTTCCAGCGGGCACAGAAACCCTGGACCAAGAAGCTCAAGAAGGTAGAAGGAACCTGGTTTAGTCAAGTTTTTAAAGAGCAAACAAGAAGGTCGTGGTGAGGTGAAGAAATGCATTTTCTGGACAGTGAAAAGGGCATTTGTTTGTTTGTTTGTTAAATGAGAAATGCTTCCCCTTTCTTACATCATCCCTGTGCTCTAGTCCAGCTGTGGGCTTTGACGGCAAACTGCTGCCCCATCAGTCTGAAGAATGGCTGGGGTTTTTTGTTATTTAAAAGATGTAAAATAGGAAATGCCTGGATGGGCACTTTCCAAACCCCCCCCCTTTTTCTCATTTTTGTGGTTTGGGGCCCTAGTACATAAACGTTTGCTCCTAGAAGCTTCCCAGAGTGGAAATAGGGGATTTTTAAAAATCAAGCTTTATTTTATTGGGTGTACAGTAGTTGCTTGTTGCCTGCCCTTATTAATTTGCCCACCAAGTCCCACATGAAGACAAACAAAGGCAGTAGTGAGTTGCAACTGATGCCAGGCAAGACTAACCTTACCATCAGGCAGAGTGAGGAGATGCCTCAGGCAGTGGATGCTGGTGGCAGCAGCCCCAAAGGAGAGCTATGTGCCATGGGGCTTGCCCTGTGCCTGTTGAGCTAACCCGCTGCCCTCAAACTCCCATGGAGGATGCTGCCCTGTCTCTCTGTAGAAGTAAGATTCCACTGTCAATCTGGCTGGCTTTTGTGCATGGAATGAAGAAAGACACCATTTTGTCCTTTGTCATTGGCAGCAAAGTGTTTGGAGCCTGTCCTGTCACAAATCATGGGGTGGGCATTAATGCAAGAGACCCATTATACCCACCAGTCAGGGTGCAGGAATCCTGTCAGGGGCCAGAGGAATGAGTAATCAAGCCATGCTAGTCTCTCATCTGCTATTAAGGCTGATCCAAAATATTTTGCATCCTCAGGCAAAGGTTAAGATGGTTTCTGTCTTCAATACATTCCACAAGGTGGCAGCATCTCCCACCGGACCCTTTGTGGCAAACACAGTCCTCTCCTTCAGCATTTTGCTATTGATCCCTGCCCTCTTTCTACGTACCATCTGCCACTCTGCCCAACGGCAGGGTTGGCCCTCATTTGAGAACCCAGGATATAAGGGGAATAATCTCTGGAATTTTGAGCAAGGGATGGCAAATGCTGATGTATCTTGACCTCACTTTTATCACTACTCTTTCCCAACTTCCTTCTGATTATTCTCTATACGTGGACCCAGGTCGAGAAGACCAAAGCTTTGTACCACAAAGCCTGTCGCAAAGAGCACATCTCAGCCCTACGGGAGAGTGGACTTCAGGCTGCAGCAGGGGCAGAGGTGCCCCCTGACCGGCAACGTGCCTTGCGGGAGGAACATCAGCGATGCAGCCAAGACGTCAACAAGGTGTGGTTCTTTATTATGCTTTCTGCATGGACCCAGGCCAAGAGGGCATTAGAGACTCCTGAAATGGTCATGCAAGCCAACCGTGGTGAACACCATGCATGCTGTGTGAGATTTTGATCTCTCTTATGCTCTTAGGAGTCAACAGTTTCCTAGACCTGTCATCCTATCATCTTACCAATTGCTAGTTGACTGGGAAGAAACCCAGGCTGGTATGGCCTTGGGCCTTTAATTGGCAGAAAGCATCAAATGAAGCTATTCTACTCTGCAGAGATAATAATGGTCCTTTCTCATTGGCTGCAAATAGAAGAGAGCACTATCTATTTAAACTGTCTAGTAGAAAGCAATATGTGATATAAGGCCCTTACTGGTTTGATTTATATGTGTTTAAATGGGTTACTTATTTACTTGGTTTGATGTCCCAAAACCAGGTCTGGGGGCAGCTCACAAAGCTTAAATGCATGTCTAAATTTAAAAAAAAAAACATTTTATATGGTTACATCACAATTAAATAAACTGTAGTTTTAGAATGCGGCAGAATTAAAAGCACCATAAAAAGCACATTGGTTAAAAAGTCTGGCACCCGTACATTAAAAGCCTCTTTCCTTACAATTGGTTGATAGCCAAAGGTCATCCTGAAAAAGCATTTTGCTTGCCAGTGGAAGGCTGACAGGCAGATGACCAGCCTAGCTTCTCTTGGAAGGAGGTTCCACAGGCTGAGAATAACCAGGCTCAGACTGTTGGAAAGAGGCACAGAGTAGCAGGCTAGTGATTTCTGTGGGTGTCTTTGGAAGGATATGGTAAAAGCCCAGCAGTAAGAGTGGCTTTAAAAAATGTTGGCGATTCTATTTCCTTCTGTGTTTGTATACAGATAGGAAGGAAGAATATCCAGCAAATAGAAACCATTGTGTCAACATCCTCATATATGGGATCTTGGTTTAAATAGAGTGAAACAAACAATATCTTAAAGAAATGTTCTATCTTGGACTGGACCAGCATCAACCACACAGGGTAAAAGTTGGGGCAATGGGAGGATCCAGTAACATAAAAGCCCCGTACAGTATTCTAGTATATTCTTCCTGACTCCACAGTTCTAGAAAGGGCTGATGTCCCAGAGAGAGGAGGAGGAGGAGGAGAACCCTTCGGCACATGATTCTTCTTGACCCTTGACCTCTTTCAAAATAGGTGCGTGAGCGCTATGAGAAGGCCCTGCAGGAGCTTGATCGCTGCAGCCCACGCTACATGGAGGAGATGGAGTCGGTTTTTGAGCAGGGGCAGGCGCTGGAGCAGAGACGGATCGTGTTCATTAAGGGGGCCTTCCTGGCCCTGCACCGGCGCCTTGATGTCACCTCGGACCCCAGGTGTGGGAAGGGGCTAACTAAGGCCTAAATGGAAGGTGGCAAGCCATGTGTTTACGAACAACCCCTTTGCCCCTTTGAAATAAGAGAAAACCTATTGATTGGGAAAACGATTGTCAGACAAAACTGACCTGTTACATAACCCAGAACTTGGAAATGATACTTTTTAGACAAAAAAATTTTCAGCACCCCTCAGCCAGTGTGACTATGCTGGTTGGAGATTCTGCGTGCAAGTAACTTTTCCAAGCTTTGGCTAACCCAGTGGGGTTGTTTTAATGCTCTTAGTTTTTTTCCGACTCTGGATCATCCCCATCAGAACCAGTCTTTCCTGCTCAATTGTTTGAATGTTTTCAGAGTGGTACCTCAGGGCTGGGTATCTAGCAACAGCATAGAGACAAGGGGAGGGGATCCACTTTCCATGGCGTCCATGTTACTGCTGACTGTTAAGGAGAGGACTAGAGCAGGGATGAAGGAGCCCGTTGGCCCTCAGCATGGCCTCTACAGTTCCACCCAGCATCATCAGTGATAAAGGACTGCAAGAACTGTACCCAAAACAAAGGGAGGCCAAAGACTTTCCACTCTTAGACTAGAGGTTCTGGTCTCTCCTTGAATAGTGTACTCAAGAACTGCTGTATAACTCAATGGTTTAGACATCTGGTTGTGGAGCCAGAGGTTGGAATTTCGATTCCCCATTGCACTTCCTAGACAGTGGTTGGACTTCCAGCTCTGCAGATTGAAGATTATTATTTTAGACACCTCAACAGTATACTGTAGTCTGTCCATCTCTCAGGGAATCTTACACTCCACACCAAATATTTCAATATCTTTTTATTATGATTGTGGGGGCCCATTCTCCCAGAAGGTAGTGCCTTACATCCTGTAGCTGGCAACATTTCCCATCAGCCTCAGACAGCTGGCTGGGGAGGATGGGAATTGTAGACAGACTCATCAGGAGGAGGCTATGTGAAGGAGGACTGTCGGACATTTCCAGAGGATAGCTCCTAGTACTGTACTGCCAATCAAAAGGACCTCATAGAGCTGTTTTGTTTTCTCCTCAAGACATTTTGTAATGGAAAATGTTGTTGTCTGCCCTCGCTTCCAAATTCTTTGAATGGGGCAGGTCTTGGATAATAAAATCACTCATTTGAAAGAACCCAAGTCAGATGACTTTGGTCCAGTTCACAAGCTGTGTTGAATGGAGAACATGGTAGAGCTGGGTTTATTTGGATATGATTTCATGCCCCTTCCCACTCATCTTTTTCCTTTTCTCCAGCATCCAGGCTGTTTATAGTGACTTGCACCAAGCCATTGAGAACATAAATGACCAGGATGACCTCAAATGGTGGCGTAATCGATATGGACCGGGGATGCCCATGAACTGGCCGCAGTTTGAGGTGGGGACCTCTCTCTTCCTTCTTAGTGAGAGAAGAGTGCTCTGCACATTTTCAGAGGCACTCCCATCCCCAGCTAGCAAGCATTTAGGCCTAGTGAGTGTTACAGACAATATGCCGTATAAGCTGAAATGGCCCGTGTTAGTTTCTGGTTAATATCCAGAACATCCAGGGAGACATATTTGCATGGAGTAAGTCAGAGCACAACTAGACCGGGGGAGTTGGAGCGATTTGATTTGCGCTTAAAAGGCTATTCTCTTCACTGTGATCTTTTTTATCTTGCACTTGAGCAATCCTCAATGTCTCTTCTCCCATGAGAAGGATCCAGACAGCACTTCAGATTGCTCCAGTTTCCTTTCTTTTAATGATTGATACCCACTTCCCTGCCTTTTGGTAGTCTGGGGTGTTGGTGACTTCTCCCTCTTTTTGTTGTTACTTTCTCTCTCCATGAGTAAGCACTACATTGGATACAATATAAGTAGCAACAAATTGTCCAGTCGTGTCCAACTCTAGGGGGTGGTTCTCATCCCTGTTTTCAAGCCGTAGAGAGCCAGCGTTTTGTCTGTAGACAGTTTCCATGGTCACGTAGCCAGTATGACTAGAAAAGGAACGACATTACCTTCCCACCG